GATCAGTCGCAACGGGGCCAGCATATGCTACGCACATCAGTTAGAAGAGGGGCTGAGGTAATAAAGAAACTAGAAGTCATTGCAGACTTTCATACCTGGCTTGAGGACCTGAGTGAGACGGTTTTATAGATCAAAGCCTCCTACAGTCACAAATGAAAAACCAGAGAGGGAGGGATGGAGGAGGCCAGGATAAATGGCTAGATTTCTAGAAGTCTAAATAATAAAAACTGGGGAGAAAAAAAGGATGGCAGAAGAAAACACATGTTCAGAGTTCTGTAAAAGTTAGTTTGCTCCCAAGAATCTGATCTAATATGGAAAAATTAGAAGCTTATCTCCACAGTAGGTCACGGATGTGTGTTTAATTGATATTTTATCAAATAAGTAACTATGATGATTAATTTAGAACTAATAAAGGAAAAGTATATACGTAGCGCTTTGACGTCGGCTACAACCTCTGACTTGGAACGACTGATGACAGATTGAAATATAGGCTCGGTCTGTGTACTGAATTAGAAAAGAATGTACATAACAGCCCATAAGCTTCCAGTTTTTCCAAACTCCTCTCCACCAAACGACACGCGTTGTATATTCCTGCAAACCCTTTAAAACAGCCCAAACGACCCATTTGAATTGAGAAAAAAAAAAACACAGAAAGTGCACATCCCAAACCACCCAAGAATCAATTTAGCAGTATTTTCCTCTTTATATGTGAAGACCTCATGAGCTAAATGTCATCAATGGCTTGAGAAGCTAGCAGAGATTCCTACTAAATCAAATCTACTAGTGTGTAAATAGTGGTTTTCTGAACTCTCAACGTGTTGAGAAAATATGAGACAGGATGTTAAAGGAACCCCCCTTACAAAATTACTAACCCCGTTTCCCAGCATTCCTCACCAGGGTATTCCCTTAGGGACCATCACTTTTGTGTGTCGGTCCTTCATGCTCTGCTGGGGGCAAACATACTAACAACATCCTTTGTTAGTCATATGGAATCTGAAGCTTTGACTGTGGTGGAATGTTGCTTTTAATAGGTTAAACACTGTAGCTGTTGACTGAGTAGTAGGGCCAACAATTTTTCAGAATAAAAAAAAACAATATAGACCAGACGAAAACTGGAAAACAAAACATATAGGCTAAATTAGTTATTTAATTATTTTTATTTGTTCCAATTCTATGCTGTCAAATAGGCTAAATATAGGCTAAGCCTACTTTGTGGGCAATGGGCTATATGCACGCATAAGTTCCGCATTTGACGTAAGGATGCTCGTCCATTTCCGGTTGTGGAGATTAAAGCGGAGGAAAACCGGAGAAAACGGGATTATGGCAGAGTCTTCAATATTTACTGTCCTCCCGTCTTTGAAACGAAACGTACATACGTTTAGATGTAATTTTATATATAGTTATGTTTATTTAATATAATTTTAAAAAGAAGCATAAACACAACGAGGGGTGTCTGTTTTATCTGTTTTTGTGACTAACGTTTCATTAGTATAACCATGGAGTATAAAATTCAATATTAATTCTCGGTATTGCATTGGACTCTATGATCGGCGGAAGTTATCGAGCATCCTTAATCCTTCACCGGAAATAACGCCGTGCATAGAGCCCATATCAGCCGTCAGAAGAGTGCAACGATCTGCACTTCGGATTCTGACCGGAAATAATAGATCATCCGGGTATCTTCGAAACACTCATTTCAGCATAATACGACGATTTGGGACGTACTAGTTCTATTTTCGAATATTATGTAGGACAGATAGTGTGCGAATTGGGACGCAGAATTGAATTTAGTAATCGCTCAGAAGGGTTCGCTGACTGAGTGCCCACTGCCCAGCTAACAAAAATACATGACTGTAACTCGTGAGCTGTTCACATTTAACATTCAACGTGAGTTGTTTTCTTGTGTGTGATCACTTTTATGTATTCTTCTCGTGTGTGATCGCTTCATGTATTCTCGCGTGCGGATCAGATGACAAGAATACGACTTAAAAAAATTACTGTTTTTTTTTTTTTTTTTTTTAAATAGTTACTTCAATGAATTCAGAAGACAAATAATGCACACAAATCAAATCACATGGACAACCTCTGGACGAAGACGTCATCTGGGTTTAGAGAGACAGTGAGTAGGCTAAATAATAATGAGTAAATTGCCAGAATTTTTATTTTGGGTCGACTATTTCTTTCATATTGCAAGAGACATATTTGTAGTGTAGCTGGTTGTACTTGTACGCTTTTTGCAACAAAAAATAACGAAATGTAAATGTGTTTCAAACATTTTCCCCCGATTGTCTGCTCTCTGCTGACAGAGGCCTGACCCTTTGCAACAGTCAGACTATTATTTATTTGTGTTGAAATCATAGTCAGGGGAGAGGGCCAATCTGATAAAGGCCTAACGTTAAGTGTTTCCTTTTTGGACTGACCATAGCAGGCTTGTCTGAAAGCTGTGCACACACTGAATTGGCAGTAATCATCATCAGTTATCACTTTAATATAGTTTTAGTCAGCTTGTTGGGGTGCATACAGATTACCATCATATTCTACTAAACAAAAATGTAAACAAAAAGGTTCTCAATTGACTGTGATTGCGAACTTCTGTGTGAACTTCAAGCTGTACATTTTTGACTGCTGAAATGAAGTGAATTTGGCAATCCATTCAGTCTGGTTTATTGACAGTCAGTGGTGGAAAAAATTGTTCAGCTGAATCAGTTTTAATGTGCTTGTCATAGAAATGTTCCAAGCTATGAAACACAAGAGCTGTTGTGGTGCTTTAAGCAGTCTTTCTGATCTCCATTCACTCCATTCCATTATCTTGCAAAGATGCAAATCTCAACATTTAATGTGGAAATGCAGGTCGATGTGTTCTCAGAGAGTGTTTCAACATCTGGGAATTGAGGAGGAAAAATGACCCATGTAGATTAGTGTCTCTGGAGGGTTACATAAACAAAACCAAGATTAACCTCTTTTGCTGAATTTTCTTTTTCGCATTGAAATAAGTCATAATATGAAATCATGAAATAATGTTTTTTTCAGAATTCATCTGGTGCTTCTTTTGTCTCTTCAGTGTCAATTTTTATTGGATTATTCTGTCATTTAATCCATATACAATGAGGTATTAGGGAATTTTGGTCAAGTATGTTTGAGTTAGAAAGTCCACACCTGGACAGACTTGTTTGAATTGGAATGGTGGAAGGTAGGTGAGATTTAGGATGGATTAGAGAAATAGGTGTAAAAGAGTTTGTGAGGACAAAGAGTGTGGTTATTTCAAGTTGTGCTGTAATTAAAACTGAGATGACATAGCAATGAAGACACCTTTGCTTAAAGGATTAGTTCACCCACAAATGATAATTCTGTCAGTAATTACTCATCCTCATGTTGTTCCAATCCCGTAAGACTTCCGTTGATCTTCGTAACACAAATTAAGAATTTTTGATTAAATCCGAGAGCTGTCTCACTGCTCCATAGGCTTCGAAGGGATTGAAATATGGTGACCCAGAAAGTTAGTAAAGACATCGTTAAAATAATCCAAGTGACAGGGGCTCAACCAAAGGTTAATCAAGCGACGAGAATACTTTTTGTGGACAAAAACCCCTAAAATAACAACTTTATTCAACTATTCATTTTCTTCGGTTGGGCCCCTCAGTGAGTTCACGTAGTGTAACAGTGCAGCGCTTCTGGGTTGTACATCAGAACGTAGGCTCATTATTGGCTGACTCTGGTTATGTTTGTGATGTCCAATAGTGAGTAATTAGGCTGACAGAATTTTCATTTTTGTGTGAACTAACCCTTTAAGTTGCCTGACTGTTAAATCACTAACTTCATTCTGTGCTGGTGAAGGTTACTGATAGCAACATCTGATATCCATGTGCTCATTGTGGATCAATGTCTCAGGAAAAAAAAAACATATCGACAACTGGATGTGTCTGTATCCTATGAGGGTCTGAATTCAAATGGGAGAACATGTTGTGGTCTTGGACAAACACTTCTCTTTTGTCTTGAAGGGGGACGCCTTGAACCTATGTGGTTTAGTTGCTCCATGCAATTGAGAAGAAGGCAGTAACCACTGTGAGAAAAGTAGGCCTACATATTCTCACGTTTTCAAACGTTTCCTTTAAACCTTGATTCAGTCCATTAGGATTTGAGCTCAGCTGGCACTTCTGCTTTTATGTTGCGGGGTACCCATTAATTAGTAATTTATGCAACCCCTTAGTTTAGTTTCATATGGAAGCTTTAAGAGACCATCATAATTTGTCATGAACTCATGATCATGACCTAATTGTCTTGAGAATTAAAAGTTTTTCATAAAAACATTTTAAGCACTATATATTACTTTTATTATATTGCTTTGAAATAAAAAATGATAAATCATAATAGCAGTATATTGCATGGTTACAGAATGTTTGACAGATGGTGAGTGATATACAAGTAGGTATTACAAGAACACTTTTGTTATGTTGAGATCATGAGAAAATTAATTATTGATCATGAGAAAACAAAAAAATATTTAGTTTTTTTTTTTTTTTTGTAGTCTTGCACAGACGACCTATTTTGACATTTGTCCAATGGACAGTCAAGAAAAATATTACACTCAAAAAGAAACATTTGCTATCAAACCATCTTCTCCTCATTTACTTCACATAACATTGAATTAAACCTGCATATTCACTAATCACGTTTGGTCGCTTTCTATTGTGGAAAATGAATTTTAATGCATTAACAGCTACAGTGATGAGACAGAATAGGCTATAGTATACAAAATAAGTTAAATATTTTTTAAGCCATTGCTTCAAAATAATTTTATATTAAAAAGTATGCTAAATTCCCTTAATATCAAAAGGAAAAACAGTCTGAGCAGTCTTGCAAAAATGAATCATAGAAAAATCTGATCAGGATGAAGTTTTCAGGTTGGATGGATGGATGGATTTGTGAAGGTAATTGTTGTAGTGATTGGACGAGTGAGTGGAGGATGGGGGGGGGGGGGACTGGGGGAGGACTTGTTGGCAGGGTCACAAACTATTTCCTTAAACAGAGTTATGAAAACCATACGGCACAAGGGAACGCCACAGGCCGAATCTCTTTCAACCACTCAGTGAACTCATTACTCAGTGAACCGCCCCCTCTTCTAATAACAAACGCCTGTATCCTCCTTCTCTGTCTCTCTGCAGCAAACCGACTGCAGACAAAAGTCATCCCTTTAACCATAGAGACCAGAGGTTTGAAAGAGCTCAAATTTAAACATTTCATTAGGTCAAAAAGAAAAACAAACAAACAAAAAATTAGTAAGATTAACAGGCAAAATAAGACATAGTTCAGCTCCAGAAAAAAAAAACAGCTATGGGATTCAGGACTGTTAGAAAATGCTGTGCTGCATATTCTTGTCTTTTTTTTGTTCTTCTATATTTGAATTGGTCTAAGGGAGTCATGGGACAAAGCTTGCAGGAGCAGGATGGTGTGTGCAATGCACAGGGATGCTATTCTATTCATCTCCAGCGCAAGACGTTCCGGGAGTCCTGGAGGAGCTGCAAGGATAAAGGGGGGAACCTGGCTACTATAAAAGGACCAGACGAAGCTTCTTTGATCCATGACCTCCTATCGTCCGGGGTTAGACGTGGCCCCCGACCTAGAATCAGGTTGTGGATTGGCCTTCAGCGTCAGCCTCGGCAGTGCTCGGCCACGCGTCCTTTGAGGGGCTTTACCTGGATCACTGGGGAACAGGAAACGCAGTATACGAACTGGCAACGCGATGACTTACCCAGTGCTTGTTCTGCTCATCGTTGTGTGGCCATTGCCTACAACATAGCAGACAAAAGTGGCAATGACCAGTTCAACTTCAAATGGCTCGATGGGTCTTGTGCCGTGCCTGTGGAAGGATTCTTCTGCCGCTACACCTACCAAGGGATGTGCCCAGCTCTTCAAAAAGAAGGAGGGGGTCCTGCGCTGTACACCACCCCGTTTGAACTGGCAAGTACTATTCTCACTCACATTCCTTTCGGCTCGGTGGCAACTCTTCCTTGTCCTGATGACGAGAAAGAAGACCAGTCAGTTCTGTGCATGCTGAGGGAGGATGGGAGCATTGGCTGGTCGAAGGATGCACCGCTCTGCTTGAACACTCCGAGGGACTGGTGTGAACAGGACAATGGAGGATGCGAGCACTACTGCTTGAATTCGGATACCCATTACTTCTGTGAGTGCTCCGAGAAATATGTTCTGGGAGAGGATGGAAAGTCCTGCCAGCTTTCGGACCCCTGCCACAGTGCCAACTGCGAGTTTGAGTGTGAGTCCACTTCTCAGGGACACCAGTGCAAGTGCCCTGATGGGTACCTACTGTCAGGTGATGGGCGGAGTTGTCTTGATATAGATGAGTGCTTGCAGAAACCCTGTCCGCAGGAATGTGTCAATGCACCCGGCACATTTGAGTGTAGATGTTACGAGGGCTACCTTCCGTCTGAGTTTGGAGAATGTGTAGACGTAGATGAATGCATGGAAGGAAAGTGCGATCATTTGTGCGACAACTCTCCTGGTTCCTACACATGCCGCTGTCATGAGGGATTCATTCCACTCAGAGAAGATCCAGATCAATGCGAAGATATCGATGAGTGTACAACTCCAGACATTTGTGATCAGGTGTGCAGAAATTACGAAGGTGGATTTGAGTGTCTTTGTGAGGAGGGATATATGTTGCAAGTGGACAACTACTACTGTCGGCCAATCGAAGAAGATGAACCTGAAAATGAGCCCAGCTTGCCTGAAATGGTGATAGATGCCAGCCCTCTAGAGTGGCTAACAGAATCGCCAAGCATGGAGTGGCATCCGACATACCTGAGCTGGTTTACGGAGAAGACCCTGGAAGGAGATGTAACTACGCAGGAACCTGAATTAAATGAGCATGTATCCTCAGATTCACCTTCACCTACCTTTTTGATGGGTACTACATCTTCAGCTGATTCAAATAAAAAGGATGCACATGAGGAGGAAATATCAATAGCAACTGGTGATAGAGCAGATGTAAGGACCTCAGGAGACAAAGGACCCTCAATGGCTTCGACATCTGTGCCTAAGAGAGAATGGGATTTTGTCATGCTCACTCCTGAAACATCACAAATACCAGAAGATACATCAGGATCAGAACAGCGTCCAGGGTATAGAAAGAAACACGACAAAAGCTGGCTGCTTGTGGCACTGCTGGTACCACTGTGTGTTTTTCTTGTGGTCATGTTGGCATTAGGTATTGTTTATTGCACAAGTTGTGCTGTAGAGCCACGGAGCAAAAGCGTGACAGACTGTTACCGCTGGACCACCACCTCCAAGACTGAAAAGTCAAGTACAGAAAAATCTCGAGCTTGAGTAATGTACAGTTAACTTGACTTTTTATTTTATTTTATTAAAAAAGTAGCAATGACCCTGGACTTTGTCAAGCTGTTTTTGCGTGATCACACTGTCACTTTGGTATTCTGTTGGACCCTGTGGGATATACGGAAAAATAGTCACTTATATACACAATATAACTTTCAGGCATTGTTTTAGACAATGAATAAGATTTTAAAAAGCATCAACAAGTGGAAGTGGAAAAGAGACAATGTGTGCAAAGTAGGACAGAATTTAGCATGCATCCATTTTTCATATAATACAATAAATGAGAATTTTTATGATGCATACAAGTGAAAATAAAAATATCAACAGATAAAAATGTATTTGTTCCAGTCATAATTTATGCTACAGCACCCCCAAACAGTGAGGTATGTAACTACAACCGTTTGCCCAGACAACTGTTTTCAATCATTGACATTTACACATAAGAAATAATGGATCTGATGGCATCAGTTTAACTTACAGTTAATATCCCTTCATTTTATCCAGCACAAGTTATATTACTATAAGATTGTGACAATTGGATCAGACACAGTAATACTGGAGATGCCCATGTTACTTTTATTTTGACTATTAAGGCAGAAATAAGGAAACATGTCACAGAAAAATAGAACTAAAGAGACAGTTCAAGCACAAAACACTAATCTATTCAGTGAAATAGTAAATGAAATAAAAGAATAAAACGTATGGCAAAAATATTTTTATTGTTGTTAGAATTCCATATAATAGTAGCCTATATATTACATCCATAATAACAAACATCTGTTTCATCAACAAATTAGTTTTTCACTGTCTCTCAATATTCTTATTTTGTGTTTATCAAAAAGTGTTTTACTAGTGTTAAAATAAACGGTTCTTGCTGTCGTTATTAAAATTTGATTAGCACTTTCAGCAACCCAATTCTAATTCACATTCACTAATTCACGTCTGCGGTGACCTTTCAGCTAGAATGACTGCTGGCTTGGCTGTTTTGTGTTGTACAGGTACCGCTACTCTGTATGACATTTGAGTTATTTTCTATACAAACTAATGTGATTTTAATAAAGCTGAACTTTTTTTCCCTTATCATGTGTTGTTTTCAAGAGATTATTTTTCACACGTTGACATTATTCTCCTCTCCATTGAGAGAACACATTTTTGTTCATGTTCTCCATTTGATGCTCCATTTTGGAGCAGCAAAAGCATGAAAGCAAAATCAGGGTCAGTGGAATTGATGTGATATATGGAGTTAGCAGAATAATTTTTATACAATGACTGACTCAATGAGCTGAAATATTTGTCTGAATGTATTTTTTTTAAAAATCTGTCATTAACAGTTACATAATGTATTTTATACATTTGTTCTATGGGAAGCTGATCCATTAAGTAACTGCTTTAGTTTGATTGGCTGCATTGACGTCAGAGTGAGGTCCTTCAAGAAAGTAAAAGTAAAGAAAGAACAATGTTACTAATGACGAAAAAAGTTTAAGTTTTCATCTTAAAAAATTTTGTTTATAAAATTACAGGGATAAAGAAACAACACTTAATGTTTTCGAGTGTAATAAAAATATAGAGAATTTCTGAAAAAAAATAAAAACGTAGTTCCCGACGAGGATGGGATTCGAACCCACGCGTGCAGAGCACAATGGATTAGCAGTCCATCGCCTTAACCACTCGGCCACCTCGTCATATAAACACGTATTTGATGTCCGTGTGTATAAAAATAACATACATAACTCTTGTCGCACGTTCCTTTTACTTAACTGCATACATGTCATCTAAATATTAAAACTAAATGGTTGTTGAAGCACCTTGCAATGTTGCTAAATCGCTACCACAACACTGTTCTAGTAAACACTAAACAGACATTGAAATTAGCAATTAGAAAAACGTATTCTAGAAAGAACGAAACCTTTGTAGACACTGGTAATACAGCAATTAACGTTAATCAAACTATTTCACTACAATAGACTAAGCTCACAAACAACTGTTAATGTCATTGACTTCCTACCTGAAATATAGAGACCGTAGTCCCCTGCTGCCCTCTACTGACAACACTGATATTACATTTACATAACAGTAACGTTACCCTATTTAAAAAAAATCTAATCTATTTATGCTTTAAAAAGTCGTATATGGACACTAGTTAGCCCCAACATATTCAAAGCTTAAAATGATTCATTGTGCAATATTTTATTATTATTTAATCATGTGTAGCTGATCATCTATCTAAAACGTCGATTTAATCATTTACAGGCTTTTGAAGTTTGGGCAAAAACTCCCAAATCCTCCACATCTGCGATCACTTACCATTTGAATCGAGATTTACATTATTTTAAAGATCTGAAAGGTTAACGTTGTCTCGCATTTACTTGTCTCTGTTTACTAGAGATAAAGAACAGGAACAGCTCACTCAGGGTGGGAAGGCAGGCGCAGCTGCTGAGCCTATGAGCTGAGCGCACTATAAACGTCACAACCAATGAAACAGCGGCTTCCGTGGGCTTGGCCAATCACACAATGAGTACTATAGAGCTCTTCCCCCCGTCTCTGACCATGTGAATCTTGCCGCGAATTTCAAGCAGTTCAAAACTGTTTAGGCGCGCACGGAAAGAGTTTAGCTAGTTTTAGAGACTTTTAAAAATATATATAAAACAAATCAAGTAGTTTTATACGATAATGGCTACTCCTCCCAAGCGATTTTGTTCAAGCCTCGACGTTGACCTCAGTTTCGAAAAAAGGGCACTGAAGATCTCAATAGAGGGAAACATTGGTAAGTTGCTTTAATCAACGAAATAATATAATATTACTTACAATAAAACGCACTTAATATATTATGTAAGTGTTTAGAAAAAGTGTTTTTTTTTTCATTAAACGAACCAATAATATGGACGAGAGCTTTCTTGCACTGTTAACGTCATACAGTTAGCTTATAGTTAGTGCTGTTGGCGCCAAATACTGTATATTTTGTACAGTGAGGCTTCACTACTATCGACTATGACTGAATTGTTTTGAAATAGTTCAGCAAACTTCCCTCATGTTAGGTCATAGCATTTAAAAAAATCGGAATCTTAAAAACTTAAATATATAAATAACGCTTGACAACTTACGTTAAAGAATGTTGTTTCATATCATTGCAGAGCCGGCCATAGTTATAAAGAAACAAAACATTTATGACATAAAATGTAATAATGTTATATTTTTGGGTTTAAGCATTCTTCTGGCAATGAATACAAATATATAAACATCTAGGGAATTGTTTTAATCTTTGATTAATTATGAGGCAACACAAGTTATGATTGTTTATTTTTGTATTGTGAATTTTAAAACCTTTATTGCTGTGCAACAGCTGCAGGAAAGTCAACTTTTGTGCGGTTGTTGGATCGGGCATCAGAGGAATGGGAGATCATACCAGAGCCCATTGGGAAGTGGTGCAATGTGCAAACCACAGAGAACGAGTATGAGGTAACGTCACAGTATGTCTGTATACAAGAGGTTTTTATTAAGGATTGTCTTCAAACTCAGTCTCAAATGTTAATTGGATTCTTTTAATAATATATCCCATTCAAACCTTGTAGGAGCTCAGCACATCCCAAAAGAGTGGAGGCAACCTACTACAGATGTTATATGACAAGCCCAGTCGCTGGTCTTACACTTTCCAGACCTACGCTTGCCTGAGTCGTGTCCGTTCACAGCTTCAACCTCCTTCTGCCAAACTTCAGCAGGCAGAGAAACCGGTCCAGTTCTTTGAGCGTTCTGTCTATAGTGATCGGTACATGCAAACAGCTTCTCGTAGCAATTTATTAGACAATAAAAATGACGTGTAATGACATGTCTTAATATTTTTAATCCTCCAGATATGTGTTTGCTTCCAACCTCTTTGAGTCTGGAGATCTGAATGAGACCGAGTGGGCCATCTACCAAGACTGGCATTCGTGGCTTCTCACTCAGTTTGAGTCCCAGATTGAGCTCGACGCCATGATCTATCTTCGGGCTGATCCCGAGGTATCTAGCAGTTCCTTTTCATGTTGAATGGATCACTTGTAGTAATATAAAAGTGATGTAAATGTAAGGATATACTATGATTCATTGATTTAACGCATGATCTGCAGAGGTGTATGCAGCGCCTTCAGTTCCGAGGGCGAGAGGAGGAACAGGGGATTCCACTGGAATACCTGGAGAAGCTGCATTATAAACACGAGTGTTGGCTGTCCAACCGAACAACAAAGTTAGTGGTCAACTTAATGTGCTAACTTTAATTCAGCTGTTTTCATTGATTAATTATCTAAATGGATCTCTTGTCGTATACAGGTTGGATTTTGAGTATCTTAAAGACCTGCCAATACTGGTCCTGGATGTTAATGAGGATTTTAAAAATGACAGAATTAAGCAAGAAGGTGTGATTGACAAGGTACGTATATATGGGTCTATGGACCGATGCCATTATTACGAGTTTTGCCTCTTATGCCTGTTTCACACTGGATGCGCAAGCAGAGCGGAGGCAGCGTTTGTAGTGTGTCTGCAAATTCAGACGAGTATCATCCATTCTGTCATGTTTTTCAGATGTTCTCCTTGTGTGCTTTGATTTATGATGGGCAGCATACTCTGCAACCACGTTCCTCTTCTATTGTCCCACACACATATTCATATAACATGCTGTTTATGCTGCTTCTAGTTTTAATCATTTAAACAGGCTTTTGAAGTTTGGGCAAAAACTCCTGGCAATGTTTCGTGTATTTTATTTTTTTTCACAGCGCTTATTGTCATTTGGTGATTGTTGAAACAAAGCACCTGACTTAGATGACTTTATGGTGAAATTTGAGCTCGGGTCTATTTTGAATAAGAACAACGCACTGTGGCTTTAATCCAGCGTGAGCGGTGTAGGAAAAATAGCACGTCAAAACGATCGCGAGCTGCTGCTTCTGCTCCTGCTACAAGCTGCCTCGGCGTGCAGTGTGAAAAGTCTAAATTTGTTAAAGGGATATTTTACCTAAAATAAAAGTCATAATTTACTTACCCTCAAGTTGTTTCAAACATATACATTTCTTTGTTCTGATAAACACAAAAGATGATATTCTGAAAAATGTTTTTGACCAAACCATTGACTTTCATAGTATGGAGAAAAATACTATGGAAGTCAATGATGCCCCACAACTGTTTGCCATACCTTGAGGGTAAATGATGACTGACTTTTCATTTTTGGGTGAACTATCCCTTTAACATGGGCGCCGGGGGAATAAAAGGCTCTGCTTACTCGTCCAGTGTGAAACAGACCGTCAGTAAATTTTTTTTAAAATTGTCTTGATTTCATGTGTCCCCCTTCTTTCTTTCAGGTGAAGGAGTTTCTGAGCACCTTGTAGCCTCTAAATGTAAATTGATCTGTGTGAATGATGTACATCGGCGATTCCTCACTAGTTTTCTCTGGTCATTTGAATGAATTTCTGATTGTATTTTATTTAGATTGTTGTACATAATGTATTTTTATAGAATTAAAGCCTCGTTTTTTTTTACACAGATTTTTTTAAAACTCTTCTGCCATGTAAACTGAAGCAGGACATGACGTCATTTGTAAAGTGCAGAACATTTTTGGACAAACAAGCCATTGGCTTTTAGTGCAGAGATTAGTATTTATATAAGTTTTGTCATTAGGTCTGAAAACATTCCTTTAGGGAAAATATTAAAGTTAATATTACAGGGTTCCCACAGACATAGGAAAGTCCAGTTTTAATGGTAAATGGACTGCATTTATATAGCACTTTCACAAACCCAATGGCCACTAAAATGCTTTACGTATTGTCTCACATTCTAACACATTCATTCACCGACGGCAGTGTCAGCCATGCAAGGCACCATCCAGCTCGTCAGGAGCAGTGATTGAACACTGAATGATGATTTACACAATTGAAGAGTTGTAGCAATAAATAAAATCTCCAAATGCATCTAGATATTCTCTGTTCTTAAAAATGTCATACTCCTGTAATTATATCTCTAATTCAGGCTGTAGGAATGCTGACTCGCTCAGTAATGAGGACCTGCTGGCTCATTCTGTGATTTAAGAGTTCATTATTATAATTAAGATTGGTTTCATAATTTTCAGCTTTCATGGTCAGTGTCAATTAATTTATTTCCAGGTTAATTTGATCTGACTGGTTTACTCATTTAAAATGTAAGAAATGTAGCACTGTTTTAAATGCCATACAGCTCATTTGACATGAGAAACAATGAAATGCCCTTTCAATACCGTATTCATGAACAATTGTGGCATGTACATATGACAAACAGGTTATGTGGCTGGCCCATGTTCATATTTTACACTCAAAGTGAAGAGTATGAAGATACTTTTTTTAAAACAATATTATGAGATCACTCAAAGCCAATGTATGCAGTGCTAATAGATGAAACAAGTAATTTAACAAAACATTTCACCTGAAAAACCTTTCACATGTAAACATAAACTGAGTTTTATTATTAAGAATATTAAAATGTCACATTGTTTATTGATAAATAAACCACTGTCTTTTGTTGAAAAAATGTTTAACCATTGTCTTGTAATTGTTCTTATCTTTCACATTCAAAATTGATTATGTCAATTTATTAAAGTCTACAGTCTTTATTTAGCTTACAATTGTAATCTTGTGAACATTGAATTTGGCTTTTAATGCAGGAGAATTTTTTGTTTATCTTATTTTGAATAACTTACAATTAGTTTTCAGATTTGACTGCCAAGAAAAAGCTTTCCACAGACTCATTAAAATAATTCCATGGAGTCATAAATATTTTTAAATGAATCCAAGTGGCACACAGCTTCTGTACCAATATACGAGGCTACATATGTTTATGCAGAATTATGTGAAAAAATGTCCCTCTAAAAAATAAGTTTTTCACAGAAAAGAAGGATATTATCCTTTGTGTACAATATTACATACGAGTCAAAATTAAACTACAAGTCCCATAATGAAATCTTCCAGAGAAATCCGGGTATTGCTTCACCCAGGTCGGTCGCGCCCTCCTCCTAACAGAGTGTTATTGACACAGTTGTCGTAACATGTTAAATAGTAAGAGTTGCTTAATATCGGACGCAAAGAGATGTCAGCTACACTTTTAACTGTCAACACATTAGAAATTATATTTATTGAATAATTAGACAGTTAGTGCCCGACTAATCTGATGCATCTAGTATTGCGTTACTGTAAACATGACACCTTGGAAATTTATAAAACTTCCTAAATATGATTCTAAAACAAATTAACCTCTACTTTCTCGATAAAGACAAAAATAGGCGTATCGAGAGGGCGGGAATTTGTGACAAGCGTGCCTACGTCCAATCGTCTTTACTAAAGGATGTTTCCTGACGTTAAATCTTAAAGCCTTCTTGTAAACCAACCTTGACGTCGCGTACTTTCGCTTGAGTTGCGTGCGTTGCAGCCAATCAGGTTCCAGTACTTAACTCTCGCGCCCAATAACCTACGCATATTTTGAACAAGGGCGGGACAATACACAAATGGAACGAAGTAGGATAGGTTGTTAGAAAGTTAATGGCTTGGGGGAAAGAGATTCTCTTCTCGCTTCAGGAGAGTTTGAGGATATTTCTGAAGTAAAACGTAATTATTTTATAACAATATAACCCCAAAGAAAGTGAAAAGACAACATTACCTTCACAAATAGACGTCTTATTTAGGAAAGTATGCAGGATGCAGTAGCCGGGACGGCAATGCTGACGGACGGCTTCGAGGACGAGATTGACTCGGTGACTCCGCGTTCCCCTGCGTTAGGGATGGGGGTTGGAGCTACACCAGGAGCCGGACTCGGGGGCCTTGGTGGCAAGAAAGTCCGCTTGTTCGGCGAGGCTGGTGGGCCCACCACAGACAGACTTGATTTCAAACTCACAGCGGCCGCGGTGTTATCGTCAGGCCCCGGATCCGGCAGCGACGAGGATGAGGTGTCTGAGGTGAGAGCGAGTCAGCCTGCTGGAAAGTGGAGAGAGTGTGTGCTAGCTCACATGCTAACTCCTGCTAGCCCTAATAGGCTTCATTCCCAACCCACCAAAACCCTGGAATTAATCACCTCATCCAAAGAGGGCGACTTATCACGTCCCACATTTGACAACATTTACACAACAACACCTTTGCGCTGAACGCCATTAGCAACTATTTCAATAGCGCTTCGCGCGACCCACGTTGCCAGTTGCGTTTCTAAATAGCTCATATTCAGGCGAGTTAGCTTAGCACGGGCTCAGATGAAGGCTGCAATTTGGGCCTAAAGAGAACATCAGGGGGCAACGCCATCGTCTGCTAGTTAGCCATCCCAAATAATTGAACCGATTTCAACCACTTGTCACTTTAGTTTACGTCTTTAAAGTGTAACTCATCACACGTCGCGTCTTAATGACAGTCATTTTGAAGGATGTAGAAACATCGCTAGCCGGGAGGCTAAGTGCCTCTCTTGGTACGTATCTAAATATTAGCTGGAAATATTAGCTTTTTAGCGAAGCTTATCTGCGTGACGGTGCCTCGCCAGGCCTTTGCACTGTGTTGGTAAACTTAAGGTTTGACTTAGATCTGACATCTGTGTCAGTAACGTTAGATGCAGGTCGGTATAACGTTCACATAACCTTAGTGTCAGAACTTGTACTTGGGCTCAAGGCATGTAAATGTGTCCACACAGCAGAATCTGTCATTTCATGGGACGCAAATGTTTAAACGACAGGCTTTAAGATTAGATCTATTCTTTGATGTCAGAGGGATAATCATTAGCCATTGTGATCATGAAGTGTGGCGCTGGGCTTCAGGGATACTTGTCATGTGGGTTTGTACATCAAGATGCACCTGTTGGGTCCTGTAGATGTTTAATTATCTATCCCACTTAGGAAGATTTTCTAAAACTGTGTGCTTCCACTTTATTAAAGCGTTAGTAATTCTTAAACAGCCTGTCAGAGGTATGCTCTGAATCTTAATTTTGATTAAAGCATTCTATGCATTTACCTTTTGTTGACAGATGACGTTCATTTTCCATGCATGAATTGTAGGGGTGGGTGATGTATCACAATATAGTTTGCTTCAAATCAGGTTGTTGCGATAGCAGAAGTTTAGATATTATTGAAATTAGCACCAAATTTCAGTTCACCACAAAAAACAACTAACAAATGTCTTCAGTAAAGTTGACAACTTTTTACATAAGTAATTGCGATCTGTAGGACAAATAAATATAATAGAACAGAGATGCAAATTATGTAAACAGTATTTGTTTTTAAGGTTAGTCTATGGCACCGGAATACCAAATTGAGTTATCTATTGGCCACATAACAAAAACCAATGCATATAAACCAAGTCTCATCCAAAATATTTTCGTTTTTTATAATCCGTTGCACTTGGATGTACGTTACTGTAATGGATGAAAATATATGTTACTACTTGCATTTTTTTGTATCCATTTTTTTAATTGAACTGGCATGTCTTAAAAACACATACAACTGATAGACTTTCATGACAAAGCATATCATGAGAGCATAATCTATACAGGTCGACAAATTTCATATTTATTGTGTCTATTGGTACATCACATACTTGCTCCACAACCAAGTGTTGGCTGCAGATCAACCGGAGGCCTGTTTTTAATGTAAATGACTGAAGTCAAATGAAGTTCTCAAGGAGTAAGCCGTGCTGAAACGCTTACAAACATGCACAGTTGTATTTCAGAGCTGCATGTGATTCCCCCCCCCCTGGAGTACAGGGGTGTGTCTGTTGTTGCCTTTTATAACTTGTAATGGTTGCCCCCTCCCCGTGTGTTGTTGGTATTTGTCTGGAATTTAGGGGGAAGGGTATTAAAGTTGGTGGAGGTACACTGAGATGATGACAAGCTCAGGTAGGACCCCCATTCCCATGAATTCTGGCACTCTGCATGAACTTCCTGTTAGGGGTCACTCTGCTTCATCATGAGTCAGTCTCCTCTATGCTTTATGACTTAAAACTAGACTAAATATGTTTAGAAATGTAATCATGTATGTGAAAAACAAGTTAAGTCATTCTGCAATCCAAAGTATTGCTGAATCAAGATATTCAATCAGACCTGGAAGCAGGATCATGTGAGAAGATTACATTCATTAAATTACGAATCAACTAAATTTTTTAGGTACATTTTAAATTCTTGTCATTCTTTTTGATTTTGTTAGTTCTACATGGAATTCTGTAGTTGTCTGCAGTCATACATTTGCACAGTCAATTTTAGATATTGAGCCTTGTATCTTATTTGTGTCACTTTGTATTGTGACAGTGATTTGTTCTTTTAATATAGGCCTCTACTGCAAGCTATATTCATGGTTCTGAAATCTGGGAATATTAGGGAATTTCTAAAGTGTGATTTGCATGCTTGGGGGGGAAAAGTATGAAAAATGAATGAAAATGTTTGGAAATGGGAAATTTTAAAGGCAATTTCAAAATTGTACGGTTACACTGTTCTAATCACGTCTTGTGAGTATGTTGTTTTTCACACATTGGTCAACATGTGGAAACCCACTATATTTCCTAAATATTAACAGTCACAGAAGTGATGTTCTGGGTTCATTTGGAGACCCTTTGTTAAATCAATATCTGAGTCAGTCAAATGTCAGATACTTGTAGCTGACAATTGCCCCTTTCTGCCCTCATGTCAAAATGCTTTTGAGAATAGAAAAAATAACACATTTAAAGTTTGCATTGCATTTACTGTGTTTAAATCCTCGTCCTCTACTGAATCCCTCACTAGCTTCTTTTTATCTTAATGTGTTTTGAAAACCCTTACACCACAATATTTTTGACAGAAAGGTATCGCTTGTGAGCATTTGCTTTGCTAGTCTGTGTGTTTTTTTTTTTCTCAACACATTTAATGACCACATGACTGTGGCCTATGACACAGCATGTGTTTTAATTAATTGCATATTGCTTTCTGAAGAGGGAGTCAACTACACAGTCGTTACATGTTAACTCCCTGTCTTTAGGGAAATGCAAATTTAATTGTATACAAACCTACAATCCCGCTACCTTTTTTTCTAGTGTAGATCCTGGCTAGTGCAGCAACATATATTTTTGGTGTCTGTTTTATTGGGCTGGGAATCTTTTGGTACCAACCTCATGATTCGATTCAAATAAATTCTCGAGGTCATGATAAAATTAAATAAAATAAATTCTCAATTTTGAGTATATTTTTGATTTGATATACATGGATTTGATTGTAGTTTACTGTTTTGTTACTTTTCTTATTTGAGTGCAGTAGACAGTTTAATTGGTCTACAAGAAAACAATCTCACTGAATTAATTGTAAACAAAAGCATTTAACCTGACTACAATCATTACTCAAATGACTGGCAGTCTTCAGTAATAAAGCAAGGCAGTCCTCAGAAAAAAAAAAAAAAAAAATTGGTACATAAATTAAAATCCTTGATACGAAAATACGATTTTTTGCAAATATAAAACTAGTAAATGTGATAAAAATAAATAAATAAATAAATACAATAGAAAAAATATTCAAATTAAATAGGCTAAACAAATTTTTTCAGGTGCGGTT